TTTTTGGGGTGATGAAGAAGAAGGCCAGGTAGGTGGGACATAAGGCAACTCTGGGGGTCACGCCGGCAGGCTCCAGCTCGGTGGGCGCGGTGGCCTCACGCCTGTAATCCTAGCTCTCTGGGAGGCTGAGACGGGCGGATTGCTCAAGGTCAGGAGTTCGAAACCAGCCTGAGCAAGAGTGAGACCTCGTCTCTACTATAAATAGAAAGAAATTAATTGCCAACTAATATATATAGAAAGAAATTAGCTGGGCATGGTGGCGCATGCCTGTAGTCCCAGCTACTTGGGAGGCTGAGGCAGGAGGATCGCTTGAGCCCAGGATTTTGAGGTTGCTGTGAGCTAGGCTGACACCATGGCACTCACTGCTAGCCTGGGCAACAAGTGAGACTCTGTCTCAAAAAAAAAAAAAGCAAAAAAAAAAAAAGCAAAAAAAAAAGCTATGCGATTAAAAATGGTCTTTTAAACGGGCTACGTCGTACAGGCATTTCAAACACTCCTGATTTTAAAGTGGGGCTTTGCCAGTGGGACTCCAGGATCTTGAGCTTAAACTTTGGAGAGTGTTGCCTTTTGTTGGCTGCAGAAAATGGCTTTTTTTAGAGCAGGGTTGCTAGGGCGCCCGGCCTCCTGGAGCCCAAGACTGCTCTATCAAAAAGCCATTTGTCTTGCGGCCCAACAAAAGCAACATCTCAAAGAGTTAAGCTCAAGATCCTGGAGTCCACTGGCAAAGCCCACTTTAAAGATCAGGAGTGTTTGAATGCCTGTACGGACGTAGCCGTTTGAAAAAGAACCATTTTTAATCGCATAGACTTTTTTTTTTTTGCTTTTTTTTTTTGTTTTTTTTTTGTTTTTGTGAGACATTTGAGTCTCACTTGTTCCCCGGTAGAGTTGAGGTGCCATGGTGTCAGCCTAGCTCACGCAACCTAGGTGATGAAAGGAAAGAAGCCATATATACATACAAGCAACTCTGTCACCCGGCAGGCTCAGGCTCTTGGCCCTGGAAGACTGAATGACGTAATGGAAACACTCGGGCTAGAATCCCAGCTCTGCCCTCCATAAATGTATCGCTTCGGGCCACTTATTTAACCTCTTTGAGCCTCAGGTGCATCATCCATAAAATGTAGAACAAATAGATAATAAGTTAGTGTGAAGATTTCATTATTGAATATATAATACATCGCATCTCAGTGCCTGAGACATGGGTGGTGTTTAATAAATGGTAATTTGTTGTCATCATCACCCCTTCAATGTGGATTTATTTCTATTTCGTGTCCTTTTCTGTTTTCCATTTTTCCAAGATTCTGAGCTGTGGGCTTCCTCCCTGCAGGCAGAGTCTGCCTGGCACTGTTGGAAACCTCCACGCCGGGAGCGGGTCAGGGGCTGGAGTCTTGCCCTTGTGCTGGTTGCAGTCCTAGGCAGGTATCTGAAATTCCCTGCAAACTGGGCGTAGACCCTCGAGGCCACCTCCAAGATCTCATCCTCTTGTAAAAGTCTATACGAGTCCTGCAGTGTATTCATGGTACATTTTGAAAGTTGTTTCCTTCCTGACTGTACATTTATTTAGTGTTGGATAATAAATGGAAAGTTAATAA